TCGGGGGTGAAACAAGGATGTCCATTATCACCAGTTATTCAATATCGTACTGGAAACATTAGCTTTAGCAATAAGAGAAGAAAAAGAAATTGAAGGTATTAGAATAGACAAAGAGGAAACAAAGCTATCACTCTTTGCAGATGACATGATGTTATACTTAGAGAATCCTACAGAATCCAGTAAAAAACTACTTGAAATAATAAACAACTTTAGCAAAGTTGCAGGCTATAAAATAAACCCACATAAATCATCGGCATTTCTATATATTACCAACAAAGCCCAACAGCAAGAGATAGAAAGAGAAAATTCATTTAAACTTACTGTAGACAGTATAAAATATTTAGGAGTCTACCTCCCGAAACAAACCCAGCAACTCTATGAACACAATTACAAAACACTCTTCACGCAAATAGTCAGATCTAAATAATTGGAAAAACATCAGTTGCTCATGGGTAGGCTGAGCTAATATAATAAGAATGACAATTCTACCTAAGCTAATTTACTCGTTCAGTGCCATACCAATCAAACTACCAAAAATTATTTTTATAGAGTTAGAAAAAATAATAACAAGATTCATTTGGAAGAACAAAAGGTCCAGAATATCAAGGGAACTAATGAAAAGAAATGCAGGGGAAGGTGGCCTAGCCATTCCATATCTTAAATTGTATTATAAAGCAGCAATCATCAAAACTGCTTAGTACTGGCTAAGAAATAGAGTGGTGGATCAGTGGAATAGGTTAAATATTCAAGACACAGTAGTCAATGACTATAGCAATCTATTATTCAATAAACCCAAAGACCCCAGCTTCTGGAATAAGAACCCACTCTTTGAAAAAAACTGCTCGGAAAACTGGAAAAGAGTATGGCAGAAACTAGGCATAGACCAAAATCTCATACCATATACCAAAATAAAGTCAAAATGGGTTCATGATTTAGATATAAAGGCTGATACTATAAGCAAACTGGGAGAGCAAGGAATAGTTTATCTATCAGATCTATGGAGAACAGAATAATTCATGACCAAACAGGAGATAGAGAATATTACAAAAGGCAAAATGGATAATTTTGATTACATTAAATTGAAAAGTTTTTGCACAAACAAAGCCAATGCAACTAAGATTAGAAGGAAAGTAGAAAATTGGGAAAGAATTTTTACAACCAGTCTCTCTGATAAGGGCCTCATTTCTAAAATATATGGAGAATTAAGTCAAATTTATAAGAATACAAGCCATTCCCCAATTGATATATAGTCAAAGGATACGAACAGACAGTTCTTAGATGAAGAAATTAAAGCCATCTATAATCATATGAAAAAAATGCTCTAAATCACTACTGATTAGAGAAATGCAAATCAAAACAACTCTGAGGTACCACATCACACCCATCAGATTGGCCAACATGACGAAACAGGAAAATGATAAATGTTGGAGAAGATGTGGGAAAATTGGAACACTAATGCATTATTGGTGGAGTTGTGAAATGATCTAACCATTTTAGAGAGCAATTTGGAACTATGCCCAAAGGGCTATAAAAATGTGCGTACCCTTTGACCCAGCAATAGCACTTCTAGGGCTATATCCCAAAGAGATCATACAAATGGGAAAAGGACGCACATATACAAAAACATTCATAGCAGCTCTTTTTGTGGTGGCAAAGAATTGGAAATTGAGAGGATGCCCATCAATTGGGGAATGGCTGAGCAGGCTGTAGTATATGAATGTGATGGAATACTATTGTGCTATAAGAAATGATGAACAGGCTGACTTCAGAAAAACCTGGAAAGGCTTGTATGGTCTGATGCTGAATGAAGCGAGCAGAACCAAGAGAACGTTGTACACAATAACAGCCACGTTGTGTGATGACTAATATTGATAAATTTAACCCTTCCCAGCAATACAAGGATCTAAGATGTCTCCAGAGGCTTTGTGATGGAAAATGCTATCCACATCCAAAGAAAGAACTATGGAAGTTGAATTGCTATTTTTTTTCTCTTCTGTTGAATTTTGTTTCCTCTTTCTGATGGTTCGTCCTATTGGTTTTAATTTTTACTTACAACATCACTAATGTGAAAATATGTTTAATATGAATGTGAATGTATAGCCTATATCAGATTGTGCGCCATCTTGGGGAGGGTGGTGGGGAGGAAGGGGGAGAAAAATTTTAAACTCAAAAGCATATGGAAGTGATTATTGATAAATCAAAAGAAATTAATAAAAAATAAAAGAAATTAGTAAAAAAAAAAAAGACTGAGTCATGAAGATTTGTTTGTAGAATGGGAAGGAATTATGATGGTAATTAAGTGCCAGATCATTGTTACCAGAAATTATAGAAGGAATATTCTTATAGAGCTGTGACTTAGTGATTCAATTTGGGTTATAAAAGGAAATAGCAGGGACTGTGCAATATATCAAAGCTAACTATAATAATTTAGCATCTACAAAATACCTAGCAAGATATGACCTGGTAGCTAGAATGATATACATGACCAACTCACTGTCTCTCATGGATTGATAAGACAAATCTCTGTTCTGTAAATATGGGCCTTAAAATATCCCTAAAGAACTCAACCAATAAAGTTAACTAGAATTAAAGCATCATATACCATACTGTTGTCCACAATCACTCGGACATAACAGTGATTCATAAAAATTTAAGAATAAAGTTTTTAAAATATGTCACCCATATTAAATCCTCACAATCTCTAAGTTATGTAGAATAAAAAGTTTTTGAAATAAAGAGACCTAACAGAGAAGGTCAAAATCATACAGTGACAGAAGATCTGTATCATTCATGTCATCCTGTCTGCTACTGGACCAGGGTTGTGGTAGGGATGCTTACAGTGAGACTATGGAGGATGAACTTACATCCTAGTACTTTTATTTAAATACAAAAGGCAGGGATCTTGTCTCCTTGCACAACAGTCCACAGAATATTAAGTATAAAGGAATAATAATGGGGTAATGATTTGTCCCAGTACTGTTTCTATCTGAGGACCATTGAAAAACATAAGAAGTAGATAATCATATTAGCTGTCACTTACATAGAACTTCAATTTTTGCAAAGCACTTCAGCTACATTTTCTCTTTTGAGTCTCACAACTCACAATCCCATGATTGTGAAATACGTACTGCAGCTATTAATTATCCCTAATATTATCATACCTTATGCCTTTTTATTCTACAAATGAGAAAAATGAGAGTCAGAAAAATTAAGCGATTTGCCCAAGGTCACATTGTTAGTAAATATCAAAGGCAAGATTTTTAATCCAAGGTTTCCTGATTCAGTTAAACTCTTCAAACCTTAGTTTCCCAATGTGTGAAATGGAAATAACAACCCAGGCCTTACCCTCAACTACATTCAAAGATGTAACCATAGATTAACAATGTTTCCTATCTTTGAGTTAGTCAGTCAACTAGCAATAATTAAATGACTACTAATGTGCCAGGCACCATGCTAAGCTCTGGGGATAAAAAGAAAGGTAAAAAACAGGCCTTGCCCTCAAGGAGCTCACAGTCTAATAAGGGAAACAACAGGCAAATAAGTATGTACAAACACACAGAGAACTGAACATATATTGATATCGATATACATATACATGCATCCAAATATATACATACACAGGATACACTTATATACATACATATGTTTATATACATATATGTATGAGTATGAGTATATGTGTATGTGTGTGTATGCATTGCCTTTCCTCTGAGACTATCCCTAATTTATCCTGTATTCCAGGCCAGTGAAAATGAAAACGCTTGGAGATAGGAGATGAAAGACCATGTGCCAGGACAAGCAAGGAGGATGTTGAGTTGAAAGTCTAAAAATACAACTTCTCTCAATGTGGTATGAAGATTTTACTAACCTCATTTTAAATGTTATTCAAAAACCTGTCTCACAAAAGATTATGAAACTTGTAACCTGATTGTAGAATAATTTAGGGATAGGCCTAAAAATTAAAAGTCCTATCCACAGTATCAATATGTATATCAATATCATAGGATCCTGGTGTTGGTAAAGATCATCTAGTCTAGCCCCCTACCTGAACAATCAACCCCGTGAATAACACAGGGTTATAGATGTGGAACAATAAGAAACCTAGTTCAATCAGACCAACTACCGCATTTAACAGATGAGGAAACTAAGTCACAGAGAAGTTAAGTGATTTGCCCATGATTATGACAGAGGCAGAATTAGAACCCAGATCCTCCGACTCCAATATCCATGACAGGTTGATGGTCTCTAACCTGTCCTTGATTTCCTCCAATGACAGACTTTCTATCTTAAAAGGCAGCACATTCCATTTCCAGACAACTCTAAGTATTAGGAAATTCTTCTTTAAACTGAGCCAAAACCTACTTTCCTGTCATTTTTATCCACTCAATCTAGTTCTCCAGTCTGACACCAAACAGTGAGTCTTATCCCATTTCCACATTACGGGCCTTCCTTCAAATATTGGAAGACAGCAGATCATTTCCCCACTAGATGGCATTAGATTCTCAAATTTAAAACAGGTCCCAGTTCATCCACCAATTAACACTGAGCCCACCTTGTTTCTGAATACCCTCTTCTCCTCCGCTCTTTATCTTTGCTATAGTCCCCACCAGGAATGGCTAGCAGGGATGGTGGGGAACCTACGGCCTCAAGGCTTCATATGGCACTCTAGGTCCTCAAGTGCAGCCCTGAGCGCCCATGTGGTCTCCCACCCCTGGGCTAGGAGGTAAGAAAATTAATAGGTGTAGGTTTTAACTTCTCACAATTTGAAATGAGCTCCAAGATTAAGGAATAGAGTTGGAGAGGAACAGGGCCAAATTATCTCAGAGGTAATCAGTGAGATTTTGGGATTTTTGTTTTTTTTTTTTTGTTTGTTTTGTTTTGTTTTTGCTTAAAGACTATAGTGAGGTAACTTTTGAATGTCCTTACATTCTTTTACAATTATGTGTGTTGACTTTGAAATGTCTGGCTTACAAAGAAGAATAAAGTATGATTTTACTTACATTTTCTTTTGCCTAACGAGGGGTTACTCATCAGAGTTTTAACAAACTTATTAAACTCCACTTCTCCTTTACCTGAAAGAACATGAGAGAGAAAACGATTAATGTCAAGAGTGACAGTTTCCTAAAGTCTTCTTCAGTAATATATTAAGCTTGATTTTTCCCTAATGCTTTCAGTTATTAAGCCAATTACTGAAAATATGAAGTTACCTAAAATAAGGAGTTATATGAGATGCAGCAAAGGATATTGCATATACGGATGGGCTTAGAGTAAGGAAGACCAGCAATTCTCACACGTTCTCTGACATACTTGCTCTAGGAGTGAAAGCAAGTCACCTAGCTTTTCAGCGCCTCAAGCAACTCTCTGGGACCATAAATCATAAACAAATTGCCAATGTGAGAGAAAGGGGGGAGTTTCCACAGTGAGAATTCCCCACATTGATAAAATCACAGGTATGCACCAAAAAAGTGGGGCAGGAGTTCTGCACTCAGAAATAAGATAAATGACATATAGCCAATACCACCTAGTAATTGAGAAAACCAAAAGAAAACAGAAACACAAAAATCAAATAACAATAATGATAATAGTTCAGACATCTATAGCATTTTAAGGCTTGACAAGCAATATACATTTATCATTTACTTTAATACAATATACATTTATCATTTGATCCTCACAATAACCTTGTAAAATAGGTACTATTATTATCACTATTTTACAGATGAAGTAAAGTTAAGTAATTTACCCCAGGATCAAACAGCTAGTGAACATTTGAGGCAGAACTCTAACCCAGATCTTCTTATCCACTACACCAGGCTGACCCTCTGCCCACTGAAGGTGAGGAATAGATGATGAGAAATTCTTATGAGAACTACCCATACATAATACATATTTTCAGATGCATTTGCTCATTGGATCATCACTCTATGAGTCCAATATTTGGAATACAGACTATTTGTACCGGACCTGCGGTAGAGCATTCTGAGATTGTCTGATCAGCCACAGTTCAACATAATGACTCCAACATGGTAATGTCATTTTGGTCCTCTTCGAGTATGAAGGACAACTAACTAGAACAAGTATTAGTGATCCCATTTTACAGATGAGAAAACAGAGGTGAAGAAAGTTTTAAGTGACTTGCCTAATAGTAAGTTGATGGCAGAGCTGTACATACATAACATGCTGCCACTCATACTCAAAATGATCATTATTCAAAGGAACTACAGCTGCTCTCTTCTCATAACAGGCACAACACAAATGTTATCATGTATTTCCACAGCTCCCTTCCATTTGCAAAATTCATTTCAATTACTAATGCCCATTTGAGACAGGCCTAAAGCAATATCAGATGGGAAACTAGAGGCAGTCACCAAATAATTGAAAGGATTTGGAGAAAGAGAATATATAGGACTGTCACCTAGTTTATGTAGATTGGGCTGGTTTCCCTTTAAGGAGGTAGGGAGGCCATTCTTGGAATGATTACTGGTTTGGCTTCCTTGCCACCTAAGGGATAAAAGGCCCAGCTTACGTGGTACTGGAGGTTTTAACAGATTTCCTATTCCCCAGTTTGGAACACTTTTCTGACTTAATGTGGTTGGTTGCCATAGTAAATGCAGAGACAGAGGAGAGTAGCCTTTTTATCTGAATTACTATCACGTTTAACCTCAGGAACCATGTCTTTTTTTCCCCTTTATTATTAGCAAAGTAATTTTTATTGCATTTAATGGTCCACCAGTGTCTCATTACTTTCTGAGCCTATAGCTGAATTACTGAACTCATCTGAGTTAGGCCTGGCCTTGCTCTGCTAATTACTACTTCAGGCAAGTCACTCAGTTATCTCCTCTATAAAATGAGAGGACTGAACAAGATTATAACTAAAGTCCTTTTCAGATGACCTGAGTCAATGGTTCTCTATCTGTAGAATATGGTAGAGTTATTACAAAGAATCAATATCTCAATCACTTAATCACTAAGCCTGCATTAAGCACCTAGTATGTGTCAGGCACTGTGCTAAGACACTATATATACAAAAACAAAAAAAAATGAAACAATTTCTCCTCTCAAAGACTTTATATTCCTTCAGGGGAGATAATTTCATTGCTGTTCAGTTGTTTCAGTTGTGTCCTACACTTTATGACCCCATTTGGAATTTTCTTGGCAAAGATCCTTGAGTGGTTTGTCATTTCCTGCTCCAGCCCATTTTTTTAACAGATGAGAGAACTGAGGTAAATAGGGTTAAATGACTTATCCAAGGTCACACTACTAGTGTTTGAGGCTGGATTTGAACTCAGGAAGATGAGTCTTCCTGACTCCAGGCCCAGCACTGTATCTACTGCACCATCTAGCTGCCCTCAATGGGATAATAGTCACCACATATATTGTCTAGGTGTGCTATGCCTGATGGAAATGTGGATTTGGGCTTCTCATCATAAGATATGGGTGATTCACTTCACAAGATACCCTATTTTGGAGTAGTAAGGCTGGTTAAGAGCATATATCAGAATGAGTCTGAGAAGGGTCCTTGGAGCTTGGTCCAAAAGGCATCTTGAGAGCTTTCACTATACATCTTGGAAGAGCTGATTGAAAGAAAGCTTTGTTTCTTGGAGAGGCTAATTGGAAGAAAAGCTATGCTGTTTGGAGGAGCTGACTAGAGAAAGAAATGCCTTTATCTTTGCCTTTGTCTTCACTGCCATCTAAAGACATATAAAGGGATAGATGGTATGCTCCTCAGATTTGCAAATGACACAGTGCTGGGTGGGATAGCTAAACACAGTAGATGACACAGGCAAGAGCACTGTGCTTAATTCAGTAAGATGAAATTCAATAGGGATAAATGTAAAGTCTTACAGTTAGTTAGAGGAAAGCAACTTCCTAAGTCTAAAATGGGGAAGGTATGGCTAGATAGCAGTAGCTCTGAAAAACACCTGTGGGTTTAAATGGACTGCAAGCTCAATATGAGTAAACCAATAGGTTTATGGGAGGAAGGTTATGATTACGTTATCTTGCTTTACCTTCAGTTTAGAAAATGTTTTTGATTAAGAGTTAATGGTGTCATCTTGACTGGTTTGTTAAATGCGTGACCTAGCAGCCTAAAAAGTAAATGTCATCTTGGACAAGGTTGAGAGGCACAGGGAGGTGACAGTCCCACTGTACTTAGCCCTTATCAGACCTCACCTTAAGCACTATATTCAGTTCTGGGTTCCACGATTTAAGAAGGACATTAATAGCGCCTGGCACATAGTAGGCACTTAATGTTTATTGACTGATTGATTGAATAACCAGAAAAAGGCAACAAGGATAGCAAAGGTTTTCAAGTGCATCACAAATGAGAACTGGTTGAAGGAACAGGGCATATTTAACTTGGGAAAAATAAGATTGGGGGATATGATGGATGTCCTCGGGTATCTGAAGGGGCATCAGATAAAGAGGGATTAGACATGTTTTCTTTGGCCCCAGAGAGGAGAACTAGGAGCAATGGATAAAAGTTGCCAAGAGGCAAATTCAGGCTCAAAGTCAAAGAGGGAAGAGGCAGGAATAAGCATTTATTAAGCACCCCATATGTGCTGGGCACTGGGCTAAATGCTTTACAAAAATTATTTCAGTTGATCCCTACAACAATTCTTGAATGTAGGTGCTATTATTATCTTCACTTAACAGTTGAGGAAATTGAGGCAAACGGGTTAAGTGACTTGCTCAGGGTCACATAGCTTATAGGGTCTGAGGTTAAAATTTGAACTCAGGTCTTGCTGACTCCAGGCCCAGCACTCTATCCATTGTGCCATCAGCTTCCTGTTTCAGGGAAGAGTTTTCCTTCTTTCAGGGAAAACTTCATAGCAATTACAATGAGCTATCTAAACAGGGATGGGACAGCTAGGTGGTGCAGTGGATAGAATACCCAGCCAGGAGTCAGGAAGACTCATCTTCCTGAGTTCAAATCTGGTCTCACACACTTCCCAGTTGGGTGACCCTGGGCAAGTCACTTAACTCTATTTACCTCAGTTTCCTCATCTATAAAATAAACTGAAGAAGGAAATAGCAAACCACTCTAGTATCTTTGCCAAGAAAAGTCCAAATGAGGTCATGAAGAGTCAGATACAACTGAAAAATGACTGAACAACAATCCAAAGGGGGAATGGACTGCTTTAAGAGGTGATTGGCTCTACCTACTTGGAAATCTTTAACCAAGTATATTACAGTAGAAATTCTTTTTGTGTTTTGGACTAGAGTGGATGGCCTAGGAGGTCCCTTCCAACTCTCAAATTCTATATGCCATGATCTAATACTGCCTGAGAGATGGAGACTCCTCAGAGCCCAACCAAGAGAACAAACAGGAAAAGCTCTGCAGATTTCAGGCTTGGTGTTTCTGTTCCACTGAAAAGGCTGAATGTTCCTTTGGCAGTCCAGAAGAGGAGTGGTCAGCAGAAAAGCAGCCTAGCCTGTCTCAGGAAAAGAATGGAGAGGCCCACAAGAAAAACAGCCTGACTCCATCAGTGAACAGTAGAGACTGTGTCTCCAGGACACCAAGGCCCCCTGTCCATCGATGTGAGCTACCCAGTGGGAGCATGTGCCTCCTTGCTAAGGTTAGGCAAGTCTGTGCCCACTCTCCTGCCCAAACACTAGGTACGTCGACAAGCAAGTAAGTGTGTCCTAGGTTTATGGGAGGAAGGTTATGATTACATTATTCTTGCTTTGCCTTCAGTTTAGGAAATGTTTCTGATTAAGAGTTAACGGTGTCATCTTGACTGGTTTGTTAAATGTGAAATGCAGAAGGGGGAATAGAAGGTGGGGTTCAGGGGCTATAGTTGTGAATTGTGGAAATATAGCTCCCCCACAGCAGAGTTACCCTTCGGATCCTGAAAGTCATCTGTAGCATCCCTTCTGGGTACCCTCAACCTGACAGCATGAGTGAACAAACTAACCAAGGGAGAGAAAAAAATAGAAGAAAATGGGACTGAAGCTATGCCCACCACACCACAAAACATAAATGTATAAAGAGTAAATACAAAGTGAATATAAAGTAGTGGAAAAATGAGGTAACTAGAGGATGGAACACTAGCGGTTGTAGGACAGTTGAGAGAGGCTTCATGTAGCTAGTGGATAGCTAGTGCATAGAGATGGGTAATTGAGTGAGGAATATATAAGGAACATATTAGGAACACAGGACAAGTTGGCTGAATTATCGAGTGCAAGAAAAGGAGTAAAATACAATGAGGCTGAAAGTGCTTGTTGAAGCCAGGTTGCAAAGGACTTCAAAAACCAAACAGAGGAATTTATATTTTATCTTAGAGGCACAGTTAGTCAGTCACTGGAGTTTACTGAGGAGGGGAGTGATGGAGTCTGATCTGCATATAAGTAAAGTCATTTTGGTCACTTCATGGAGGATGGATTTGGAGTGGGAAGAAACCTGAGACAAGGAGACCAATTAGAAGCCTATTAAAATAGTCCAGGGGAGAAATAATAATAACCTGAGATAAGGTGATGGCTGTGTGAGCAGAGAGAAGGGACAGGATACAAGAGATGGTACTGAGGGAGAAACAATAAGATTTGGCAACTGATTAGTCAAGGATAATGCCAAGGTTGTTAACCTGAGTGACTGCAAGGGTGATAGTGCCTGGGCAGAAAAAAAGGAGTTTTGAAAGAGGGGTAGGCTCAGGGGAAAGATAATGAGTATTGAGTTGAAGATGTCTCTAAGATATGCGGTTTAAAATGCCTAGTAGACAGGTGGTGATACAGTACTGGAGCTCAAGTGAGGGAGTCAGGCTGGATAAAAAGATGATAATTAAATTCATTAGACCTGATGAGGTCACTGAGAAAGAGGGTAGACAGAGAAGAGGCCCCAGGACTGAGCCCTGGAGTACATCCATAGTCACATGGCGTAATATGGTTGATAAGCCAGCAAAGAAGACTAAGTAGTCTGCCAGGAAGGAGGAGAATCAGGAGAGAACAGTATCTAAAAACAAAAACCAGAGAAAAGGAATATCCAGGAGGAGAAGGTAGTCAATAATATCAAATTCAGCAGAGAGGGCCAGAAGACTCAGGACTGAAAAAAGGTCAGCACTTTGGGCAAATAACTTATCATTGGTATCATTAGAAAGATAGTTTCATTTGAATGATGAACCCCAAAAGCCATGATGCAAAAGGTGGAGAAGTGAATGAAAGTAGGGGAAATGAAGTCATCCAGAATAGAGAGCTTTTTTCGGGGAGTTTGGGTGAGAAATAGAGAACTTCAGGATGATGGATTGAGAAGATGGCAGGGTCTAGTGAAAGTTTTTAAGGAAGGGAAGTCTTAGACGTGGTTTTTGGTTTTTGGTTTTTTGGGAGGGTGGGGTTGTTGGAGGCAATCAGGATTAAGTGATTTGCCTAGGGTCACACAGCTACTAAGTGTCTGAGGCCAAGTTTGAACTCAGGTCCTTCTGACTCCAGGGCCTTGGATCTATCCAGCAGAAAATGAACTGGTAAACAGGGAAAGATTGAAGATGAGAGGGGACAGAGATAATTGAGGGGCCAATCTGCTGGAAAAGACAGGAAGTCTGGGATCAAGGGAACATGTAGAGAAGCTGATGTTGGTAAAGAGAAGGGCCACCTCATTATCAGAGACAAGAGAAAGGGAGGAGACAGTAGGAGATTCTGTCTGGGGTAGGGGAATGTTTGAAATGTGGATAAGGGGGGAAAGAGGAAATCCATAGAAATTAGATTCAATTGGCTCATGAGACTCAGAGGGTCAGAGGAGAGATCCTTGGCTGAGAGGGTTCAGGAAAGAGGGAGGTGGAGGAGACTTAAGGAGAGAAAAGATATGGAACAGCTTCTGTTGAGTATGGGACAGGGAATGGATTAGAAAGGAGTAACAGGATTATCTTGCTACTGTGAGGGAGGGCCCCACTGACATTAGATAACATTAATCTATAGTTTATGGTTAGTTTTTTTGGTTGGTTTTTTTTTGTTTGTTTTTAGGCAACTGGGGTTAAGTGACTTGCCCAGGGTCACACAGCTAGTAAGTGTCAAGTGTTTGGTCTGAGGCCAGATTTGAACTCAGGTCCTCCTGACTTCAGGGCCGGTGCTCCATCCATTGCGCCACCTAGCTGCCCCTATGTTAGTTTAAATAGGTAGTGGTTATGTATAGTTTAGGTTGTGACTGTGCCTAGTCAGCTCAGTTGAATGATTTCCTTCAGCTCCATTTGACTGTACTTAAGTGAGAATAGAGAAGGAGGATGCTGAGAATAATTCAGGGTTGGAGTTTGGCAAGGAATGGATGGTGAGAAGACAACAATGCAAAGAATTCAGGAGTTGAACAGGTTAACTATAGGGTCAAGTTTAATGTGGTAGACCTCTCCTAGGTCTGTATCCCAAAGAGATCATAAAAAAGGGAAAAGGACCCCATGTACAAAAATATTTACAGCAGCTCTTTTTGTGGAGGCAAAGAATTGGAAATAGAGGGGATGCCCATCAGTTGGGAAATGGCTGAACAAGTTGTGGTCTATGAATGTAACGGAGTACTATTGTGCTATAGAAATGATGAGCAAGTGGACTTCAGAAAAACCTGGAAAGACTTACATGAACTGATGCTAAGTGAAATGAGCAAAACCAGGATAACATTGTACACAGTAACAACCACATTGCGGGATGACTGACTTTGATAGACTTAGCTCTTCTCAGTAATACAAGGATCTAAGACAACTCCAAAAGATTCATGATGGAAAATGATATCCACATCCAGAGAAAGAACTATGGAGTCTGAATGCAGATCGAAGCATACTATTTTCTCTCTTTTGTTGTTTTTTTCTTTCTCGTTTTTCCCTTTTGTTTTCATTCTTCTTTCACAACACGACTAATGTGGAAGTACGTTTAATATGATTGTACATGTATAGCCCATATCAGATTGCATGCCATCTTGGGGAGAGAAGGGAAGGAGAAAAAAAATTGGAACTCAAAAATCTTACATAAGTGAATACTGAGCACTATCTTTACACGTAATTGGAAAAAAATTACTATTAAGTGGGGGAAAAGATTGATGTAGTAGAAACAACTTCTATTAGGGTTCTTGCCACGTAGGCTCAGCTAGTTTTTCCATAAAAGGCAGGGAAGCTGCCCCAGAGGGGATGTGAGCTATCGATAAGGCATTTCATTCACCTAAGGAATAAAAAAAATCTAGCCCACTAGGAATCCCATCAAACTTGATGGATGTCCCATAGCTATATGAATTAACACACCTTTCTGACCAGATGTGTTTCTGTGTGGAGATAAGGGACACTGGGTCTGTCTGAACCAATGGTTTATCATTGCAAAGTATCTTTTCCTGGTAAACTTCCTTTTTGTCCAGTGTGGAATGGTCTATGAGTCTCATTTTGTTCCATTGCTGAGTCAGGCCTGGCCCAGTACAAATTGAGAAGGAAAGAAAATGAAGTCAGAGCAAGATCAATGGCTTGAAGAAGTACTGAGGGGTGGAGGGACTGGAGGACATGTCAAGGGGGGAAGAACCAGTTTAGGAGAGGTAAAACATAGGCAGAGATGGAACAGCAGGAAGATATGGTCGCATAGAGGAGTGACAGAGTTTCTGATCTTAGAAGTGCAAATATCTGTAGGTAATGGTGAGCTCTAGGGTTGGCCCATCCCTGTGAAGTGAAGTGATGGAATAATAATAATAAGTAACATTTATATAGCACTTTAAGGATTGCAAAACACTTTACAAATATCATCTTAGTTGATCCTCACAACAACCCTAGGCAGTAGGTGAGATTATCTTATAAAGAAACTGAGTCAGACAGAGGTTAAGTGACTTGCCCAGGGCCACAAAGCTAGCAAGTATCCAAAGCCAAATTTGAACCCAGGTCTTCTTGACTCCAGGCTCAATGCCCTGTCTACCTAGTGGCTTTGCATAATAAATAACCAAAAAACCTTTGGTAGACTGAATGAACAATATGTCTCAAGCAAACATATTACAATTTTTGAAAGTTTGTAGATGCTGTAAGAGAGTGGGCTAGCTCACCTACTCCCTTATTTAAAAGCATTACTGAATTTATAGTGGTTTTAGCCATTATCTATTATCTGTACTCTCAATCACTGGATGCTAAAAAGTATAACTACTCCTCTCAAGTGAAAGTCTGTACATTTTGATGGGAAAGGGTCTTCACACTCAAAGAAGCTGAGATTCACTTATCTAACTCATCCAAGGCCGCACAAAGTCAAGGATACTGGCAAGACCAATTTACTCAACTGCCCAAACACAGATTTAAAACCAGAAGAAATTTTAGAGGTCATTCTGTCCAACACTTTAATTTTGCAGATGAGAAGAGTGAGACCCCAAGAAATTCAGTTTCTTGCCCAAGGTAACACAAGCAATAAATTTCAGAGATAAGATTCAAACCCAGGTCCTCTGACTCTAAATCCCAGGTCCTTCTCACTGAACAAAACTTTCAGATACAATTCTACAAAGTGATATCCTTCCTAACTGAATGGAAGAGATCAAACATTCCTTTGAGCAGCTTATTTTTAGGAGCCGGGGAACGCTAGAATATCCCTGTACTCTCAATCATAATTCTGGGGATTTGGGAAAATCAGATCTTGAAGTGTTCTTGAAGGGAAATCAATCAGTCTATGAAAATCAAATTTGCATTCACATTTAAAATTTCACAAGGAAACATGGGAGGGGAGGGAAAATAGAGTATAAGGAGAAACTTGAGCCTTTTCCCTTCTACTTAGGGGAGCTGAAAATTTCCCCATTCACGGCATAATGAATCTCCTTCACTTTGAAACAGGCATAGCAAATAGTGCTTTTGAATAGAATAACCCAATTTACCTATAAATATCTCTTTCACTTACTATCAGGAGGTATCTCTTCTAAGGCTTTATTAAATTCGTTCAAGGAACAATAGACTCCCAATTTCTTCAGTTTGGGCTGTACTTTATCCAAGGGAACTTTTTCGTCTTCAAATTCTTTAACGACATCAATGGCATCTTTCAACACTGAAAACAAAGGAGTGGACAAGAGATGTTACTTATATAAAATGAAGTTTTAATGGAAAACTCCAGTAAAAATGAGAAGATTCTAGAATTCAGTTACTAGAAGAGTAAATCATTAACACCACAACTGACACTTACCCCATCTCTCCTAGGCACTGTAAGGACCTTGATAATAGGAATATATCATAATGAATCTTTATAACTCCCCAGAGCCTAGCATGATGCTTAAACATTAGTACTTAATATGCAATGCATTACGCTTCCCTAAAGCCATAACATATTCTTGAGTCCTACCTCCAATGTCTCATTACAACACAGAGGTCATCCTAGGCACTGGAAAGTTATGATAGTGAAAGATGAGCTCAGGAACTCCCACCAATCCAGAAAGACACCAAGGATTACCTCGTTAACATTGTACTTGCTATCAAAGTACTGGACTGAATACAGGACGGCTCATAGAGAAAAGGACGGCTATCAAGTGATTCATTCTCTGATCATGGTGATCCATGATACTTATTTTTAAAAATTCAGATGAATTATTAAAAATAAAAGGAAAGAATTTCAAAACAGAAATTAAAAGAATGATCAGGTAAAAAATTCAAATAGATACCGTTTTGGGGGCGATATGATAGTTTACTCAGAGACTCTTAGGGAAGTAGCAAAAAATTGAGACAATAGCATCAGTAAAGCAGCAAGATTCAAAACTGACAGAAATCATTGATATTTCTCAATATTACTAAAAAACCATGAGGAAGAGAAAATCCTTTGGAAATAACAGTATACATAAAATACTGATGACATAGGACTTACATAAAGTCAACTAAAAACAATTTTTATTGAGAGGAAAAGCAGAGATACAATATGATGATGGAAGCTTTTATTCAAGACCAGCCCCCTCTACTGTCCAACCTCACAAACAACAAGAAATGTTCCAGATGAAGCAAAAGGTCAGCTGCTGGAAAAAAGAAAATGAAACCATAAGGTAATTTACCCTACGGGGAAAAGAAAGAAGAAATAACAAAGAGAGACACTATCAAGTCCCTGTTCTTTTTTTCTGTGTTCTCCCACCATGGACCCCATACTGAAGGAAATGTGTTGAGGTCTCCACATGGCTGCTTTCAGCTCCCCATCACTGCCCCACTCAGCGGCTCATACTCAGGGCTATGGGTTCCTTTCTTAAGGCTAAAAGCTCTGGACAGAGGTCTGGTAGCTCCACATGGCTGTTGGATTCTTGCTTGCTGCCCTTACCTTAGACTCTCGAGGGCACTACCATCTTCACGGTCACCCAGACTCACGAGCTAGGTATTAGTATAGACTCCTCATTCTCTCTCACGCCCCATATCCAATCTGCTGCCAAGGCCTGTTGATTTTAGCTTCGTACATCTCTTGAATATGCCCCTTTATCTCTTTTGACACTGTTACCACACCCTGCTAGGGGGCCTCATCACCTCGTGCTTAGACTAGTGCAATACCTTGCTGGCCAGTCTACCTTGTCTCAAGTCTCGCCCCACTCTAGTCCATCTTCCTTTCAGCTGTTAAAGGGATCTTCCTAAAGTAAGTCTGACCACATCATGAAATGCTTGCTGCCACCCCACTTTGTCCACCCAACCTTTCTACTCAATTAAGTCCAGTGGTCCCTTAGAGCCACTGCAGTGGTTGGAAGGCTTAATAAAAAAACGGAATCAAATATAAAATCTTCTGACATTCAAAGTCGTCTTTCATAACCTGCCCCACCCATACACACACACACACACACACACCCCTTTCCAGTCTTCTTATAGCTTAACATGTCCCTATATAGTCTTCAGTCTAGTGACATTGGACACCTTCTTGCTCCTGGAAAAAAAGACATTCTCTTTTTACTCTGAGCACTTTCACAGGCTGTACCCCATGCATGAAATGCTTTCTCTCCCTCTTAGCTCCTGTCTTCCTTCAAGATCCAGATAAAACGAGACCTTCTATAGAAAATCTTTTCTAATTCCTCTTATGCCTTCCCTCCGTTGACTATGTCCAATTTATCCTATAGACAGCTTGTTTGTACAGAGTTGTTTGCATGTTGTCTTCCCCATTAGATTGTGAGCTCCTTGAGGGCAGGAACCATTTTTTGCCTTTCTTTGTATCCCCAGTGCTTAGCACAGTGCCAGGCACATAGTAGGTACTTAATAAATGTTTATTGACTGACTCTTCACTGAGGATTGAGTGTTTGGGGGTATTGTCAGCTTCTATTGTTGCTGTTAATTCTTTTCAGTAATGCCTGGCTCTTCGTGACCCCATCTGGGGTTTTCTTGGCAAAGATACTGGAGTGGTTTGCCATTTCCTTCTCCAGCTTGTTTTATAGATGAAGAAACAGTGACTGCTGTTAGTTCATTGCTAAATATTACCCCATTCCCCACCTCCAGCCCCTCTCTAGGTTTCCATTTAGCAATGGCTCCAGCAGCCACAAAGTCGAGGAGTTTAGAAAGAACAACAGTAGATGCAACCCTTCAACATGCACCCTAATACAGCTGCCCTTTGGCATCAATTCAAGTAAAGGCCTTCAACCCTCACAAGGGTGAAGCTCAGAAGTTAAGACTTCACAGGAGAGAATAAACAATATAAAGACTGAAGAAATGAGTGAATAAAACCAATAAAGAAATACTATGAATTAAAAGAATTCCAAATTGAAATTCCAGAAAAAGAGACTCATTCTGGAATAACTACAAACAAAACTGCAGAAAAGAGAATGGATTGTTCACAAGATCCCAAAGAGTGGTTAGAAGGCCTAATAAAAGAAAAGGAGAAAGAAAAGAGGAGGAAAATTAAAATTCTTGATAAAACACACACACACACATACAAACTGAAAAGGAGAATAAAGAGTGGAGGTAAGTAGAGGGAAAGGGGGTGAGAGGAAGGCAAAGCAGGAAGGAGAGAGGGGAGAAAAAGAGGAAGAAGGAGAGAGAAAGAGAAATTAACAATATAAGTAAATTCAAGGAATTTGGATAGGATAGCAGGGGGAGATGTATAAAAATAGATTAACAACAAAGTAGTATAAATAAAACTAATCACAGAAACAAAGTGCTGACTTAAAAGAGGAAGGGGGTAATCAAAACATTAAGCCCAAAACTTTCCTTTAAAAAAAAAGTTTAATGATGCCTTTTGTTTTTTAAACCAGTTATTTTCCCAATAATACTTCACTCTCACGGAAACTTTCATTTTAACAACAACAAAAAAGCAGTTAAGCAAAATCAGTTAATTAAGTAATCAAAACTATAAGTATGGGCAACATTTAGCATTCACAGTCTGACACTTCTCTATCAAAAGGAAGGAGATATGTTTTATCATGTCACATCAAGAGTGACAACCTCATTTCAGTTCAGCAGAGCTTGGCCGCCTTGTGGTGGCGTTCATTTACATGATTGGAATCATTGTGTATATTGTTCTCTGGGTTCTGCTTACTTCATTCTGCAACCTTTTGTACAAGTCTTTCATGCTTCTCTGAGTTCCTCACATTTGTCATTTCTAATGGTTTAACAATATTCTATTTCATTCACATACCACAATTTAACTAACCCCAAATCAATAGGCAATCACCCTATTTCCAGTTTTTTTGCCTCAACAAAAGGTGGCATTATAAATATTTTGGTATAGATGTATCCTTTCTTTCTGTCTTACTTCCTTAGGTAAAATCTCTCCTTTCTATTCAAATCAGCAAATTATGAAAATGGGAAATAACATTAGACTAAAAGCCATTCCTCAATAGGCAAGAAATCAAAGGACATAAACAGTTTTCAAAAAAAGAATTTCAAGCCAACACCAACCATATGAAAAAAGATCCATATAACTAATAACATAAGAAAGGCAAATTAAAACAATTGTGAGGTTTCAACTCAAGGGCAATGTTGATAAAAAACATTCTTGGAGTAGGAGGCATGTGAAACCATGCAAACTTAGATACAGTTCACAATTCACTCTTGATCTGGTCAAATCATCCTAGAAAATAAGTAAGAGTTATGAGAGGAAAGGTACAATATTGTTCATACCCTTTGACTCAGAAATCCTAGTCCTGGGTATATAGCCTAAGGAAGTCAAACAGAAAGATTCCATATATTTCAAAACATTTGCCGCAGCATTTTTTTGAAGTAGCAAAAAACTGGAAAGCAAGTAGATGCCTATCAGTTGAGAAATGGCTAAAACAAATTGTAGTCTATGAATGTTACAGAATATTATTGAGCCATTGTAAAAAAAAACTTTAATATTTAAGAAAATGTGAGACTTTTATGAACTAATACAGAAATAAGACAGCAAAATCAAAAATATAAATATAATGTTATATTTATAACTATATGCTCAGGGGCATGTTAGTAAATGTTTAATAAATAAGTAATAATTTTTAAAATTATAATCAATAAAAGTAATAATAATAAATAAATTTGTTTTAAAACATGTACAACATACTTCTAAGTTTAATCTGCATTATTAACATTTTCTCCATCATCACTTTCTTAAGTCCAGACATTCAAAAACAATAAATCAAGCCTTGAATTTGTAGTGTTTACTAATTCTTGAGGCGTAAATGTTTACACTGAAAATTTAGCAATCTACTCTCAAAAACCAGTATGAGCTGGCTTCAGCAAATTCCCGTATGAAATATGTTTGATATTCAAGGAAACATGATAAGACTTGTCCAATCTAATACAGAAAGAAGATAGCAGAGGCAGAAAAACAACATTTACAATAACTACAGCAATGTAAATTAAAAAACAGCACTAAAAGCTTGCTGAAGTTAAATTAAAGGCAATGACCAATACTGGTTCCAAAGAATAGAGGTAAAAAGGTGGGAATCTATATGTACTGAATGCTACATATTACTGTCAAAAATGGTCATAGTGAGATAGTTCATTTTACTTAACTGTTTTCTTTTGTGACAGGTAAGAGTTGAGGGTGAGGGATGTAGAAATATTGGAAATGTCTGCAGTATAAATAACAAAGGTCATTAACAAAATTTTTTCCTAAAAAAAATTTACATTATTGTTGACTACAATCAGACTATTTGGTAGCTTTGCTTAACTGAGCTTTTTTAGGGAAATTTATTTTGCTTTGTGGATTATGTTTGGATGTTTGTCCTGAGTGGGAAAAGAAAATGTTAACAATAAAAATAAAAACAAATTGGTAGTCAAAACATCAGGAACAAGTAAATTATGCTCAGTACCCATGGAGACTTCAAAAGAAATATGATCATTCATTTAATGAGTGAATTCAAACTGGTATCAAACCTAACTAAAACAAACATCAACATCAAAATACTCTTTAAACTCAATGTAGTTTATCTATATCTATTGTTAGAGTCAGTTTTTTAAAATGATTATTATTATTCAATTGTCATGAATGTACTGATAAATGGTATTGATCACTTAGGTATTCAATAAAGTTTCTACCTACCATTATACTCTGAGAACTGTCGGGCTTTGGCCAGATTAACCATAAAGTCTTTTAAATCCACCATTTCAGTATCTACAAAATGAAGAAGTTTAGATAACTATATTCTCTGTAGTATGAAGTTGTCATAAATGCTAAATTCAGTATCGATATAGCTATAAAATAAAATATGTTCAAACTGTTTCAGCTCAAAATCCCATCTTCTCTTTTTCCTTCATATCCAAGTTCCTGGAATGTGTCCTCTGACATTCTACTCTCTGCTTCCTCTCTGCTAAACTTTTCCTTAGCTAAAAGTCTGACTTCCAATCTCAAAACTAAAGTTAACTCCTATAACCTTCTCATTCACTACACTTCAGTCATACAGAGAGTCACTACCTTGACCTTACCTCTGCCCATAGCTATTCCATTTCCACCATTAAGAATTCTGTGTCTACCATAATCTCCTGTTACTATTTCATCTCTTACTAGGCCTCACGTCTCCCAAACCTATTCTTCCTCCTCACCATGACCTCAAGTCTCTTCAGTCCTCCATACATTCTTCTAGGCTCTCATGTCTGCTCGTAGCTTTACTTTCTCTTCCTTTCCCAATTTTCACTCTAAGTTAACTAGTTTGATTTTACATTCTTGAATTCTCATTTCCTTGTCCTATCAACTGCAAAAGCTTAACCCTGGATTTTTTCCATTGACTTTCTCCATTCTTACTCATGTTCTGAAAGGCTCAGGAGGAAGTCACATAACCATGCTGATTGGATCCACTACAAATTGATATCATCCCATCTCAACTGGGCCCTCACTGCCACAAGGCAATCCTTTCCTCCCTAATTGGCTCCCATCTCATTCTCTCACAGAAACTATTTCAAACCTTGACTTCTCTCCTCAAGCTTCCTACACCTAGCCTTTCCACCACCCCGCCCCCCAAACCTCAACTGAGGACTTCTTCTCAATACTTTATAGAGAAATAGAGGCCATTCACCGGTGGCAACCTCTTCTCTATTTCTCTACATCTCACAGCCAAGTCTTGACCTCATTCCCTATTTTCTCTTCCTTTATTCCAGTTTCTGAGGAAGTGTCTTTTCTCCTCACCAGGGCCAACTCCTATATATGTTCCCAATGATCCCATCTCTTATAGCATTCTTCCCATCAACTAATTTTATTCCCTGCTGCTACAAAAATAACGAGGCTTCCCTATGCTACCCATCCATCCTTTGAAAAAACAAAACAAAACAAAACACCTCACTAGACTTTAGTATCCTCTCAAGCTATGGTCCTATATCCCTTTCTCAGCCAAACTCCTAGAAAAAGCTGTTATTTGCTTCTTATACTTGTTCCATCCATTTCCTTTCCTCTCTTCTCATGCACTTTCTCTTCTTAACCACTTGCAATCTGGCTTCTGACCTCTTCAGTCAACTGAAACTGCTGTCTCCAAAGTTACCAGTGATCTTTGGCATGTAGTAAGGGTTTAATGAAAATGCTTAGCAATTAATGATTAAATCTGATGACCTTTTCTTAGTCCTCATCCTTCTTGACATCCTATCTCTACCTGGATATGCTCTCTTCTCTGGAGTTTTGTGACACTGCTCTCTTGCTTCTCCTTCTATCTAACCACTCCTTTTCTGTCCTCTTTGCTGGATCATCACCCATATCCTATCTCCTTAACTGTGTATACCACAGTCCCCACTTCAGGTTCTGTACTGGTCTCTCTTCTCTCTATATCTCTTAGATACAGAGATATATAGGTCTCTTAGAATCCCAACTATTGCCATGGGTTCACTTATTATCTACTCTCTGCAGATGACTGCCAAATCTATATATCCAGTCTAGCTGCAGTTCTGTATCTACAACATTGGATATTCTGAACTGGATGTCCCATAGACATCTCAAACTCCAGAAGTCCAAAATAAAACTGATCTTTTCTGCTCAAACCACTCCTCTTCTGAACTTTCTTTCTGTCTTTAAGGTACGTACCTCTACCATTCTAATCACAATGATTCACAGCCTGGGAACCATCCTTGACTCTTTATTCTACTTCTTCCCCTATGTAGAGCTAATTGCAAGGTCTTATCAATCCTACCGTCATATATTTCTCAACTCCATTCTCTTCTCTCCATTCACATAGCAACCACCCTAATTCAGATCTGCATTATCTTTCTTCTGGAATATTGCAATAGCCTCTCAATTGGTCTACCTGACTCAAGCCTCAGATGCCAAAATGATGACCCTAGAGGCATAGCACAATGTCATTCCCCTGATCAATAAATTTCAGAAGCTCACTATTGCCTCTAGTATCATATGCAAACTCCTTTGTTTGAAACTTTCTATAAAATTGCTCCAGTTTACCTTTTCCAGTTTATTATACTCCATAAACTTGCCTTCATGAATTCTTTGATGCGACCAAACCAGCCTTTTGCTGGTCCTCATACAACACTCCATCTCCCATTTTCATGCCTTTGCATACCCATAATTTTTATAAGAAAACAAGTTCATGAACCTCAGGTTAAGAATTCTTGCCTTAGATGGTCAAGGAGAAGTTTCTGTGACCAACCCAATTTTTAACCCCTACCATCGTCCAACCCGGTCACCAGAGCACCTGTGAACACTACTATCTCAGCACCCATTCTGCCTCACCTCTGTGACTGACAACATCTCTCCTCCAAGCAGACTCTCCAGGAAAATCTTTTTTATATAATTCCCATTTTAATCCAACCGTATCATTTTGTAGATGAGGGAGCAGAGGCCCAGAGGACACTGTTCTCCACAAAGTCACACCAGTAGCAAGAAGTAAGGCCGGGATTCAAACTCAAGTCATCTGATTGCAAGCCTAGCATTCTTTTTATACCTCATTTAGCCTTACCTTGTCTTCTTCTTTCCCATTTATTACTGACATATTTCAGAGCTCTGGTTAGTGCCTGCAGATATATTGCAGCTCAAAAAATGTTAAACACTTAAGTGGATCCCATGGAAACAGCTGATTTCATAAAGCATGCTACCGAGTCTCACCATTGGCAGGAGTCATTTGTAGCACCTTGTCTAACTCGTCATCAGATAAATCCATTCCAATAATCTTCAAGACAGGCTGGAGTTCATCAACAGCAACTTTGTCCTCTGTGAGTTTGTTGTAAAATCCAAGGGAATCTTGTATGTCTGCAAAGTGTGTAAAAATAAAAATTGAGTACATATCATTCTTAGTGCCTTACTACCATTTTACCTGGGGTTTGGAATGTGTTAAAATCTTATTACTACACCTGGAAAAGGGGTGCCTCAGAGAAGGATTATTTCCCCCTCCATGTTTGTTTTCTCTTTTGTAATAGCTATGTTTCAATGCAAGAGTGTCTTTGAATTTTGAAACACAACCCAGGAAAATGACCTCTTTGACTCTTTATTTTTTCCCAAGGAACTTTGGTCTGTTCAGGCCTAGAAAATGCTGATTGCTTTCTGCATCAAATAAAATTATAGAGAGCAGTGAATTAGGTAAAGTTGCAAGAATGAAGGATAAAAGCCAGCAGGTCTATCCCAATCCATCCAGTCATGCTACCTGAGGCTCCAACATAATCTACATAGTCTTAAATTAGCTCCTAGAAGCATGGTTGGAGTTAAAAGAAATTTACTCATCCCACTCCAAATATCAGGTGGCCAACTGAAGTTGTTACTGAGGTAGATGCAAATAATAATAATTAACATTTATATGGCACTTATTATGTGCCAGGCAATGCACTAAATGCTTTACAATTATTATCTTATTTGATCCTCACAACAACCTTGGGAGGGAAGTGCTATTATAATCCCATTTTACAGATGAGGAAACTGAGGCAAACAGCAGTTAAATGACTTGCCCAGGGTCACTTGGCTAATAGTGTCTGAGGTTAAATTTGAACTTGAGTCTTTCAGACGTCAGGCCCAGCCCCCTATCCACTGTGCTCTGGAGTTCTAACTGGGACATAGTCCTAGGGGTATGAGTTGGACAACTTATATTCCCTACCAATGTTCCTCCTTCCATGGGTACCATGGAAATCTACAGGAGAAGATACTCCTATGTGTGTTGGGGTATAAATTTTCCTAAGTATTCTTTTTGTTCTTCAGTTTAATCAAATACCATGGCTTTAAAGTTAGTGTGGCCTTCTGGTGTGGTCTGGTCTTTGTTCTTTGGTTGTTGCTATTTCTTTTCTTTTCCCTTAAAAAGAGCTTCAGATGGGGGCTTATGTTCCTGTTGTTTTCAAAAATGCTGATCAAAGTGTGCCTTGAACCTAGATACAGTTTTTAGGGACTCAAAGTAAAGGACAGGCCTAGGGTGCAGAATGGAGGGATATAATAGCTTAAAACATAAAGACATCTTTATACTGGCTAGCAGCACAAACCTAAATTCCACGTCTCAGGGCAAAATTTTATAAAGCTCTTCCCCTTTCCTCCACCCAAACCCTGCCTCCTCCTCCCAAGACAGAGGTGTGCTGGAGCCAGTTCAAACTAGCTCCCCAAAGCTGATCATTTAATTTTCAATACGAGCATTTAGAAATAGGCAACTGTTGCAAATCAGACCTTGATTTATTGTTTTGTTGATTTGCACAAACTCAAGAAAGGGATGGAGAAAATGTTAATAATGCAGACTAAACTTAAAAGTGTGCTATGGCCTCTTTTTTTCAGAAAGCCAATTATTAAACATTTACTAGAACACTCCTGCTCTCAGTCCACCTTGTTTAGGTACTCCTAAATTAAGAGAGAGAGAGAGAGAGAGAGAGAGAGAGAGAGCGGCTGTAGGAAAGATGGATCAATTTAGAGGCTGTTAACCAGAAAGATATCTTCATAGATTTATTTGGGTCTATTTGTTAGGGTGAAGATAAATAAGAATAGTCAGAAGGTAATTTGGGTAAAAGGGAATTAAGATGAACCTCTACTCCCTCTTAAGAGTTTCCATTCTCAGTAATCCTAAAAGCTGAGTGTAATCTTTATCTAGGTACTTGATTATCATAGAAGTTTAGAATTGATTAGACCTATTAACTTACTTCAACTGGTTATTAAGATTAAGTCAATAAGTATAGCTGTCCCCAGACAACTTCTATGGTTATTGTCTAACAACCTACCAACACCAGATGAAATATTTCTGTATCTTCTGTCCCAAGAACTAGTCTTAAGTAACTGTTTATGTGGTTTGGTTTCATATGCAACCAGAAGGTCCTCAGCATGTCCAAAAAAGACATCCCCAATAGAAAGTCTGATGCAAAAGGAGGACTAGATTTGGAATCTGAGGACCTGGGTTCTTCACCAATTTGTTCTTTGTCAATTACTGACTACATGAGCTTGGACCAATCACTTAACCTCTGAAGACTTCTGTTTCCTCTTATCCAAATTGAGGGGGTTTGATTAGATTAATCCAGATCATATTACCTCTGAGGTCCATTCCTAGCTCTAAATCAATGATCCCATGATCCTAATGCTTGAAATTCCACTGTCCATAACTTTATCCCTTGAGGATCAATGGATTTAAAATTGGAAAGGACCCTTACTGATCACCTAGTCCAACCTCCTCATTTTACAGGTGAAAAAAGTGAGGTTCTAAAAGACTTACATGAACTGATGCAAAGTGAAATGAGCAGAACCAGGAGAACATTGGATACAGTAACAGCAATTCTGTATGATGACCAACTGTGAATGACTTAGCTATTCTCATCAATACAATAATCCAAGACAGTTCCAAAGGACCTATAATGAAAAACGCTACCCACTTCCAGAGAAAGAACTGATGGAATCTGAATGCAGACCAAAGCATACTTTTTTAAACTTTCTTTATTTTTGGTTTTTTGTTCTGTGTTTTCTTTTACCACATGGCTAACATAGAAATGTTTTGTATGACTGCAAATTATAATCTATATCAAATTTCTTGCCTTCTCAAGGAGGGGAGATGGGAAGGAGAGAATACAGAACTCAAAAACATTTTTTAAATGTTAAAAATTTTAGTTTACATGTAATTGAGAAAAAAATAAAATTAAATGCAAAAAAAAAGAATTGTTGCCAACCTTGCCTCATCTAATCATGAATTAATGAAAGTTTCTTGTACCTAAGTGTAAGACTTTACATTTATGCCTTTAGAACTTTATCTTATTGCTAAGTCTTTGTGGCTTCTCTAGGTCTCTGTGCCTCCCTCCCTAGTGGCTAGGTCTCTGTGTCTTCCTAAAGGGCCACAAGCACTAGTGTAGAGTGGCAATTGCATGCATTAAATTTTGGGACTTCAAACAAAATTTTCTACTAAACTACTGTGTTAAAATAATCTTTTGATTCCCTAATTAATTCAATTCCACAGGAAGTCAGCATGGTACAGTGGAAAGGGCTCTGGAGTCAAAGGACACAGATACAAATCCCAACACACTTGCCTTTTGTTAAGATACAAAAATAAAAAGCTTTCCAATGGAAGAGAATCTTCTCCTTTCTAGAAAATGTAATGCTGGCACTGTTTGGATGGTTTTTATAACTACAAGTCCCATTAATCAACATGTAGCCATGGCAAGAATGGATTAGAGTAGCATGTACAAAGGAATTCCTTCCAAATGTGTGGTTGCCTAACAATGACTGGTTGCTATGTTACAAAGACTACACAGTAAAAAGAAACTCTTACCTTCAGTTACTTTTAGTGGCTGCTTCTTTCTGAACTTTTCTTTTGCTTTTTCAGGCTGAAGCTCAACCAAGTCCAAAGAGGCAGCTGGGCTCTCTGGAATGTGAACTTTACTTGATAGTTTTCTGAGGATTTGACTACTCTTTACACTTAGTGGTTGGAAGTCTGGGACAGAAATTCCATATTTCTGCTCAGGTTCTTCCCAATATTTTGGGAAACTTGAACTCTTCTTCACACTAGGAATCTCTTCTACATCCATATATTTCTTGAGAGAAATACTACTGCCATGTGGTTGGGTCCCGGTGACACGTATTTCATATTTATTGATTTCTTCCAGAGATTTTCTGGAGTTACTCTTTACTGGCTCTAGCTCATGACTTTTCTCTGTCTTCAGAATCTTTTGTTGGGACTCTACAGAAATATCAGCTTCATGGAAAGATCTTCTAATGCCTGGGATAGCTTTGGGGGGTTGAGCCTCCATCTTATACATCTCTGACTGACCCACAAGTTTTTTGAGGCTTATACTTGTTTTTGAGTTTGTCCGTAGAGATTCAAGAACGCTGCTATCAACCCTTTCAAAAGTCTTTTTCAAATTCAAATTATTTTTTAAGTTTTGCTGTGGGGATAGGAGGTCAAGGCTCTCCTCAAACCCTCTTTCACCGAAGGTCTTTCTATTGAACCGTGTAGAGGCAGATTCAGATGATCTAGGGAATATATTACTCTTCTTCCTTAACTGCTGAAACAACCTACTAGCATGGGGCTTTGAGAATCTCCGATCACTCTCATCCTGGGATGACCAATCCTTACTTACTAGAGACACACAAAAAATATACATTTCATTATTTTATTTTCCTGCCCACTGAGACAATGACTGAATGCTTTTAAAATAAATTAATTAAATAATCAGAAACGTTACTCAAGTGGCAAATCAGAGATATATCTAGGAGCTAGAAAGGACTGCAGAAACCCTCATCTAGTCTAAAATACACGCATTTTACAGATGAAGAAAATGAAGCCCAGAAGTGTTAAATGATTTGCCCAAGGTCACACAGGTGCTAAGTAGCAGAGTAAGAATTTGAATCAGGTTCTATGACTTTAAATTTTGCATTTTTTCCCACTGCAATCAGATGACATTCTTGTTCTTAAATAACAGAAAGACAGCCAGCATGCTGGAGGACAGGACCTAAAGACCTAAAGACTGAGCCAACTGACTTTGTAAATGAATACCTATCTATTGATTTAATTTATTTAAATTATTGCCACGCAAAGGCCATCCCATTTGGATGATGAGAAGTGTTAAGAGCTATAATGAGGGGCAGCTAGGTGGCAGTAGATAGAATACCAGCCCTGGAGTCAGGGGGACCTGAGTTCAAATTCAGCCTCAAACACTTACTAGTTATGTGACCCTGTGCAAGTCACTTTACCTTGATTGTCTCCAAAAATTTTTTTAAAGCTATAATGAAAATGAATGCGGTTGTCTACTGAAATACTATGTTAAAATAATCTTTTGATTCCCTAATTAATTCACTTCTACAGGAAGTTGGCATGGTACAGTGGAAAGGGCTCTGGAGTCAAAGAACATGGATACAAATCCCAGGTCTGACTCACAGTACCTTTGTGACTTTTAGCAAGTCATCTAACTTCCCTGGACTTCAGTTTCCTCATCTGTAAAATCAGGGGGTTGCACAAGGCCCAGGGCTCTATCTCCTGTGTCACCTGATTGTGCTGCTAATGAGATAGCAATTATTAAGTACCTATTTTGTGAGAGGCACTAGAGTATGACAAAAACCAAAGTTTCTGCTGTCAAGGAGAAGACAAAGGACTCTAAGGAGATAAGAACAATTAGAGAAACTCTCAGTAATGATGGTTCAGCTCCTTCTAAATGAAACTAGACATTTGATAAGGGATATAAAGAATAAACATGCCTAGAGTTGGGGAAGTAGTCTGGAAACCTAGATACTATAATCCATAGAAAAGAAACGAGGTAATAGAATGGACAAGTATAAAGAATCTTTGACTTGGAGAAGTACAAATATTTGAGTATAGATTAGAACACAAAGAAAAATAGTATTTTGTCCACCTTCAATAAAACTCTATCTTCAATCCAATACAGTCTAATAGGACAGTATGGCAACATACTTTCCTCCAAGAGTTTGGACACCTACTCGGCTCAGTGGAGTAGAGTGCTGGGCCTGGAATCAGGAAGATTCATATCCCCTGAGTTCAAATCTGGCCTCAGACACTTACTACTTGTGTGACCCTGGGGAAATCACTTAGCTCTGTTTCCCTCAGTTTCCTCATTTGTAAAATGAGCTGGAGAAGGAAATGGCAAACTGTTCTAACATCTTTGCCAAGAAAATCCCAAAATGGGGTCACAGAGTCAAACACAACTGAAATGACTGAACAACAACATATATGTTATATATACACAAAAGAGAAAAAAACTTGCTGAATATTACTGAATCAAGTTTTTATCAAGTAATTATTAAGCCTTTTTTAAACCTGGGCTTCAGAATGACAATTATACAAATAGTAAGAAAAATTATTTTTTATTTTAATAACCAAATGAGGGGCATATTAAAGAAAGGATATAGAGTTAAAAAGCCCCAGTTATATGGGCAGCTAGGTGGTGCAGTGGATAGAGCACCAGCCCTGGAGTCAGGAGGACCTGCGTTCAAATCCAGCCTCAGACACTTGACACTTACTAGCTGTGTGACCCTGGGCAAGTCACTTAACCTCATTGCCTAGCCAAAAAAAGGCCCAGTTTTACATGATATTCCAAAGAAAGTAAAATTAAGACTATGTGAAAGATATACAACAAATTCAGGAGATATACTCAAAGTTTTTTTGGTGGGGAAGAGATCAGGACTTATGATTTCTTGGGTATAGAAATACCCTCAAATGATGCAGATGAACAATGCATCCCTAACTTACTCACTACGGCACTGTGAAATGACTTGTCCAGGTTGTCACACTAATCACATATCAGATGTAGAACTGCAACTCAGGTCTTCCTGACTCCAAGACCAGTTCTCTATCTACTGGCTGCCAACTAGGTGGAGCAGTAGATAGAATGTTCTAGTCTTGGAGTCGGGAATATCTGAGTTCAGATCCTGTCTTAGACACCAACTTAGCTGCCTGTCCCTGGGCAAGTCATACAATATCTCTCAACTTCAGTTACCTCAACCATAACAGATAGGTGGTGCAATAGATAGAGCTCTGGCCCTGGAGTCAGGATGACCTGAGTTCAAATTGGTCCTCAGATATTTAATAGCTGTGTGACCCTAGGCAAGTCATTTAACCCCACTTGTCTCAGTTCCTCATCTGTAAAATAAGCTGGAGAAGGAAATGGCAAACCACTCTAGTATCTTTGCCAAAAATAAATAAATAAATAAATAAATGAATGAATAAATAAATAAATAAATAAATGGGGTCACAAAGAGTTGGACACAACTGAAAAATGACTGAACAAAAAATGGGGATGATAACAGCATCTATTTCATAAGATTGTTTCAAGGATCAAATGAAATAATATGAAAGCATTTGGTAAAACTTAAAGCACTAAATAAATGCTAGATATTATTATCCTCAAATAAAAATACCTAATACAACCTGGGGTCACATATTGAGAGTTATTTCAGGTATACTGAAGTAACAATGGGCAAATTCTTTCTTAAATCTAGAGTGATTTTAATGAACCCAATTCTACCTAACATCCTTGGGGACAATGAAAACAGTATGCCTCCTTCTTCTAAGAGAGCCCACTCTCTTCATTCTCTTCTATAACTATGTTTACTCCTCTGTGGTCTATAAAAATCAAACCCAAACTCGGTATACTGGAGACTTTAGAGCATACTTTGAATATTTCAATGTTTCAAGGATCCATAATTTATATACTATACATATGTTATTCATATATGTATAATATATGTGATATAATTTATATAATATATTTAAATATATTATATAATTTATATAATCTATAATTGCATCATTAAGATGCAGATCACAACTCTTCCACTACTGAGTGGCTTGTCTTCAATAGCTGTAGCAAAAATAAGAAATTCATCACTTGCTAACAACCTACTGATGAGTCTCTCCCAAATTTAACTATGCTGACCCTCAGGCAACAAATAGGGGGTCCTCTACGAGGCCCATACTCAAAGCCTGTCCAGTACGCCCAGCTGCCAACTAAGTGGAGCAGTAGATGGTTGGTACGCCCTGTTCAAAGCGTAAATGCCATTGACATAACCTTTAATAATTTAGGGTCACTTCCATACCGTGATGAAATATAAAAATAAGACTTCAATGAAAAAGAAAGGAGAGCAGGTTCATTGAATTCATGTTTAATTTAGTCATTTTTCAGTCATGTACAACACTTTGTGACCCTTCTTGGGTTTTCTTGGAAAAGATACTGGAGTGGTTTGTCATTTCCTTCTCCAGCTTATTTTATAGATGAGGAGACTGAGGCAAACAGGGCTAAGTGACTTCCCCAGTATCACACAGCTAGTAAGTGTCTGAGGCCAGATTCAAACTCATAAAGATGAGTCTTCCTGACTCCAAACCCAGGAGTTCACTACACCATTTAACTGCTAGCTACTAAGCATAGGGAAGTGACAGCCCCACTATAATCTTGGCTCATCAGACATCATGAATGGACTATTGTGTTCAGTGTTGGTGCACCATGGTTTAATAAAGACATTGATAAGCTGAGAGAGTCTAGAGGAAGATAACAGGGTGGTGACATACCTTAAGTTCATTCCATATATGGATTGGTTGAACCAATGGGAATGTTTAGCCTGAAGAGAAAATCTGGAGTGGGGTTGGGAAGGAAACCCCTTCCCTTTCACTCTTTCAAGTATTTGAAGAGCAGTCATAGAGAGGGGAGATTAGACACATTCTGTTTGGAGCCATAAGTGATGGTAGAAGTTGCTAAGAGGCAAGTTTAGGCTTGATGTCAGGAAAAACTATCTAATAATTAGAGTTATCCAAAAGTGGGATGGGCTACCTAGAGATGGTAGAGGGATAACCTTCTTTGAAGGTGTTCAAGTAGAAGTTGGGTCACCACTTGTCAGGTATGTTATAGTAGGAATTCTTTTCATATGGGTTAGACTAGATGACCAACCCTCTAAAATATTATAATTCTGTGATTTATTGAATTATAAGGCAAAAAGAGGTAGAAAAAAGCAAATAACAACAACAACAGGATAAGGAATGACTTGCTAAAAATTGGCTAAGAACAAATATGACCCCCTCCCAAATTTAAATATCAGAGTAACTCATGAGCTGAATATGAATTCATTTATTCTGGCTTTTTTAAAGAGAAGGCTAAATGGTAAAAATATAAAGTAATCATTCCAATGTGCTCAGTATTCATTGGAGTGTGTTTATATTTTCAGTCCATTTTTTTAGTCCATGATTTAGAGGAGAAAGGGTTTAGGAAAAAAAAATTTGCACAAAAAAATCACTAAAATGTGCCATTAAAGTTGTATTCACATTTGAAATCAATTTCTATGTCAGACAAAATCTTCCTTACCAACATCCTCATATTGTTGCTGTAAATCCCCCAAAGAAAATAGAAAATCTCTGAAATCCACCGTTTCATTATCTACAATTAAAAAAAGAAAAGGTTCAGATACTGATTAAACATCCCCTAGAAGAAAAGTCCTTTTCTTTATCAATTTAAGAGAGTTACAGGAAGGCACATGTTCATAGGCACCTAAGAAGATACTCAGGATTGAGAATCACTGACTGAACACCAACTCGGATTTTACCAAGTATTCCATATGTAACTCATTACATGTAAATGTCAGCCCAGTTTTCACCCTCTGAGACCATTACTGTCAAAAATTTAAGATGTGACTTTAAAATATTACAAATAAATTCCAAACATAATCATTTCTAAACATTGCTATAATTTAAAACTAATAATGAAGACAGAATTAAGAACAGTAGAACAAGGGAGAAAGCCAGCAGAAATACATGAAAAATGCATTCTTGGATAAGAGAGGCAAAAAAGCCAGTCAGTTAATGACTCAGTATTTACTTAACTCCTAATGTCCTGGAAGAAGAAAGGAATGGAAGTAGAAAGCTGAGTTCTACCCTAAAGAAAGGACAACTAGGTGGCACAGTGCCAGGCCTGGAGTGAAGAAGATTCATCTTCCCAACTTCAAATTTGGCCTCAGACACTTACTAGCTGTGTAACCCTCGGCAAGTCACTTAATCTTGTTTGCCTCAGTTTCCTCATCTGTAAAATGGACTGGAGAAGGAAACTGCAAACCACTCCAGTATCTTTGCCAAGAAAATCCTAACTGGGGTAACAGAGAGTTGGATGAGACTGAATAGCAATCTTAGAGAAAGACTTAACTGTCTGTCTAATCTAAGATTAAAGAGACTTTTATGTTCTACTTCCAAGAACAGTATGTGGAAGCTGGTTTCAGAGAGGTGGAATATGTTGCTGTAAGTGGCTTAACAGACAAAGCCATAGGTCCCAGTTGCTGCCTTTTCTAGACCCTGCCCTTATGCTCCAGCTGCTACCATATTAATCCACAGCACCTGAAGACCTGCCTTGGTTATTTGCTTCAAATCTGTTTCCAGGCAGCAATTTCCTCCACACCACACTCTCCTGAACCACAAAGGTACTACATATAGATGTTCCATCAAGATACAAGTAATTTTAATAACCAGTGGTCTCCTGGGAAAGAGATATATAGTAAGGTAGAAAAATAAAACACAGAAATAATTCAGAAAAATTATTAACAAAAAATTTCATGCTTCCTTTAAGCAGCTGAACCTTTTTGCAAAAGTTGCTTACAAATAGCAAAATGACAATTTGTTGTTTCTCCTGTCAAGTACAAAGCCTGAGATCAGAAAGAAAAAAAGAAAGTAATAAATAGGGGCAGCGTTCCCTTAACGGGAATTCCCCAACATAGCTTTAGACACCCAGAGTGACAAGGGTGAAGGGCACTGGATTCTCAAGTGGGGCCTTGCACCTAGATGCTAGGGTTGCATTTGGGCATATTAGGTATCAAAAAAGACACAAGTATGTGGTTTGAGGGAAAGAGAGGTTCTGCACAGAAAGGGGAGTCCTAAGGTACTTTTGAGCAGCTGTAAGAAATAGAAGTGAGAAGAGAAGGAAAGGAAAGCTGAGGAGAAGTATGGAAAGTGGTACTACTATGGTGTTCCAGAGCTCAGGAGGCCCACTAATGTAGGGTGCTACAGCCAAGGCAAGCAGCTTTTTGGGATTCTGGACTTCCCTGAGAGGTAAGCTTACCTCCATACTAGCTACTAACATTATGCTAAGAGAATACCAGAAAACAATTGGGCTTTTGTAACCTCTCTGCCCAGCCACCAGAAGGATATTTTCTCCATCCCCTAAGGCATTATCTATATTATTTCCCATCTAGGAAGGTATAGGTGATTGCATCCATTTGGGCATGAGGACAGAGTGTGATACTGTGGATTTTCATTATTTCCTTTGGTGTTTTTATGTCTTAATTCAATGTTTTTGCTATTGAGCATCATGGTAAATGTTACAATGGATGGGGATTTGGGTCACTATATGCATATAACCACACCAAACTTGGCAAAAGTAGCAAGAGGCTCCAGAACCAGAGATCTCAGAGTTTCTAGAGGCCCAGCTGTTTCAAAAGCAAAGGATAATAAATAGACTAAGTAATCAAAATTTAATTATAAAAACACACTGAGAATTCAAACACTCACCATCATGAGACAAGTAATTCATCACTTCCTGGAAAATACTAAAAATTACAGAGACTCCCAAGATTTTCAGAAGAGGAAGTATATCTTCAACTTCAACTCGGCCTCCTTTAATCTTACTGAAAATTTGGTATGCTTCCTGGAATGCTGCAAAATCATGAATCAAGGAAAGGCAGGTTATTGCCTTCTGAGAATCAATACCTTCTCTTGGTGAAGTGGCTGGTTTTGTATTAAGAAACTTTCAATTAAAAAACCTACATAGGGGTTTTTCTAAAAATTCACCTGCAAATAGATGTTTGATCAAATTCTGGCCCCATCGCTAATGCTCAATCCAACAAGACTTTTTAAAATCTTTTATTTAAATCCTTTCCAACTTTGATATTGTCTGCAGTTAGTAGCTAAAATATGTAGTAACAGTAAGGCAGCTGATTCCCGAAGCATAACATTTAAAAAGCTTGGATTTCACACATGTTTAGGGGATTTGAGAGCAAGGAAAACAAGAGTGATTGGGAGGATTAGGGGACAAGGCAAAGAAATATTTCAACCATGAAGGAAGACCAATTGTGCAAAGGCAAAGGGGTAGAAGATGATATGTTATATACAAGGAACGGGAATTTATGATGTACAAACTTAATATTCTCAGTAAGGTAGGAGGTTAGGTCATCTTCTGAGAGAGAGTGCAGACATGAAGCTGAAGGCTCGGGGAAAGGGGGCAACCCCTGTATGGAATCTGAAAGTGAGTTAATCCAAAAGGAAAAAAATTATTGTAATGCAGTGGCAAGGACCAGGTCAGTCAGGCAATAAATATTCATTAAGTGCCTACTATGTGGTGAGGTTAGATCCTAAAAATGATCAATTTTTCTAGTAAACCTAGTTCTGTGATTAGCACAGTGATCAGCAAAAATATGTAGGAGAAACTCAAGGAATATTTCACAGAAGTTGGTGAACTCCAGGAATGGCTGTACCTCTCAATAATCTATGAATGATGTCTAATTGATAATGGTAGCTGCCTTACTAGCTCTGGCACCCAAAGAATTCAATTTCTTCCAAGTCAAAAGTGAATTTTTCTATTTCTATATAGAGGTCATATTCTTAGAGATATTGAGAGATTGAATAACCAATGTTCCAAAGATTTATAAAAAATAATTAGGATATCATCTTGGCAGGCTGCTTCAAAATGATCAAAGATGTGCTAAAGAACACAAAAGTGGGGTTGGTAGCCCTCAACAAAGGGAGATCTAGGCAATGTCCCAAGTAACTAAAGACCTACACTCTCTCAAGTTTAGGGCATGATGACTAGAATACTACAGAAAGTAGAAAAACATAGGGACAGCATGAAGCGGTATCAGTACACACAGGGAATATGCATCGTGGTGAGGAGTGTTGGCTTGGGTTAGGAACCAGCCAAGTAACTCGGAGACTTCTGATGCACACAGGTCACAAAGGCAAAGTGTAGCACAGCAAATCAGAAACCCAAGCAGGCAAACAGAAGCCAGGATAGATAGAATACCTGGAGTTCTTGGAAAGTACTATGTAGGAAACCCAGGCAGGCAGACTATAACCAAAGATGTACAGTGATATGCACATATTAGATACCTAATGTTTTCTGAATTGGGATTACAGATAAAGTGAGACCATCCTGATGGAGGTAAGGACTTTGAAATCTAAGCATAGGAGTTTGGATTTGTTGAATTCAGTACTAGGGAGCCAATATCAGTTCTTTAGTACAGCTGGGCCACATTATTAAAATAATGTTTTGAATTGAGGGGAGAAAAACAGTCAGCCATCCTCTGAGGACCTTATTCCCTTCTGGGCTGTACTGTGGATTTTGTCTACTATATCCCAGAAACCTCCTCATCTCGGGGGCTCACTTTAGCTCTGGAATTTGCATATTGGAAGTACCCTCTGAATGGATAGGTCCTCTCTGAACCTCCATTTAAGGAAGGTTTAAGACCAGTCATGTCTCTATGCCTCTCTAGACTGAACTCCATTCAGACTTTCTCCATCATGCCACTGTGCTAGATGCCTTCTCCTTCCCCCAAATTTCCTTTTCAACTTCCTCACTAGAAATTAAGCTCCATGAGGGCAAGGACTGTTGTTCTGTTTTTGCATTCCTAGTGCTTGGTATAGTGCCTGGGACACAATAAGTGCTTAATCATTATCTTTGGACAGTCAAAAATGATTTTTAGATAAAACTAATCTGTCATCAGAACACTAGGTGGACTGGAAAGAGAAGTGGCACACATTTTAAATTTTATTCAATCTAGATTATCTGAATAAGTAGTTAGGAGACATGGAAGAAATCTAAATTCTTAAGCCTCGCCAAAAATTTGTCACACTAAGCATCAATTCTCTTTTTTGTTATGATTTTGAAAAAAAGTTCTTGTTTACCTGGGTCTTGAGAGAAGGAACCTCTGTCATTCAAAATCTCCATGAATTTTGAAAAATCCAGCATGCCATTTACTGCAAAGAATAGTTGAGAAGCAGAGAGAAATAGAGCTGTCAGCAAAAGTCATTTGGTTTGCATGTGATCTAAGGCAATTAAAAAATTCAAAGAGACAACTGATAATATAAAAATTAAACCACCCCACTCTATAAAAAAGTGCATGCTCTATCAACTGTTTACTATGTGCCAAAAAAGAAAAGAGTTCTACTCAGTCAACAAGCATGTTATGGACCGATGTACTAGGTGCAGTGCTAAATGCTGAGGACGCAAAGACAAATGAAATAGTCCCTGCCCTCAAGGAGTTTATGTTCTAGTGGGTAAGACAAAAGAAATACAATGTCACTTGGGCAGGGAGTGGGGTGATAAGAAGACATTAGTCACTAGCAGGTATCAGGAAGGGCTTCATGTAGAAAAGATTGCTTGAGCTGAGCTTTGAAGGAAGCTAGGGAGTGTAAGAAGGTCTAAGGTGAGGGACAGCTTCCAGCCATAGGGATCAAGGCCAATGTAAATGTACAGATTCAGAAGTTAGAGTGCCATGTGTGAGGAATAGTAAGAAAGCCAGTCTGACTGGATGGGACAGTGCATAAAAGTTGGAAAAGTAGTCCAGGGCCAGGACTACGAATGGCAAGACCGGATTGTGATGGATGTTAAATGCCTAACAGAAGTGTCTTTATTTGATTCTAAAAGCAAAAGGGAACCCCTGGAGTTTAGGGGAGAGCAACATGATCAGACCTGTACTAAGGAAAATCACTTTAGCAGCTGTGTGGGGAATAAATTAGAGCAAGCAGAGACTTGAGGCAGAGAGAATAATTAATGAATTATTTAAATAGGACTATTAGACTAAAGGGGATGCTTGACCAAAGGTGGTAACCATGTGAATAGAGACAAAGTGAAAGATGAGAGAGATATTGTAGAGGCAGAAGCAAGATTTGGCAACTGAGTGGATATGTGGAATCAAAAAGAATGAGGCATCAAGGACAACACAAAGGTTGTAAAGCTGGGTGGCTAAAAGGATCATGGTACCCCTTGACAAAAAATATTAGGGAAATTTGGAAAAGAGGAATGAATAAGGGGAAAAGTAGTAAGTTCTATTTGAGACATGTTGATTTTGAGATGCCCAGGGATATCTGATTTAAAATATACAAAGATAATTCACGATAGAAAAAACTGAGGCACTGGGGGTTGGGGGATTTAAGAGAAAATGACAGACATATTGAATGACAGACATATCGCTAGTTTCAAAACAGGAACTGAAGTGGAAAGGAAACTTGTGAGATAGATACTGAACTCCTTGAGATTGAACTCAATGTCCTCTAAAACTGTGATTAAATTACTGGAAAGCTGGCAAATAATTGTCACCAAGATCCAGATTTGATAATAAATTTGGATAGAGTGAATGTCAAAGAAAACAATGCATCCAGCTCAAAAATAATTTTCCTTTACCATTTATTATTCATGCCTCATTTTAATGTTTTTATTCAGTAATCTGTTGTATTATTCAGTTATCTATCTTGTGTTTCTACATTAGTGTATCTTTCTCACACTGTTGCCTTCCAGAAGTCAAGGGGCCAGGTCTATGAAGTTCCTTTGGGGTATAAAACCCATCTCAATGCCACACACAGTTAAGGACCTATAATCAAGACCACCATCTCATATCTGTTCTATAGTTTCCAAACTACTTTTATGTACTTTTTTTTTCATTTGATCATCACAACGACTTTATGAGGTAGGCACAACACATGTGATTTTAGGAAATGAGGAAATAACAGAGAAAGCAAGGTGGCTAGAGGGACTGAATGATGAACTAGCTGATCTCTCATATTTATCTTTGCAACATCTCTGTTATACTCTTCTCTCCACCGACACTGCCTCCCACCTTTACAAGCCATCATGAGCTCTTGCCTAGACTATTGCAATAGCCTGCTCGTTGGCCTCCTCCTTATTTATCTTCCTTAAGTGCAGGTCTGATCACATCACCCAACCCCCATTCAACAAACTCCAGTGACTCCCTATTACTTCCAGATTCAAATATAAAATCCTGTTTGGCTGTTAAAGTCCTTCATAACTTGATCCCCTCCTTTGTTTCCAGTCTTCTTACACCTCACTCCCCACCATGTACCCTGTGTTCCAGTGACACAGGTCTCTTTGCTATTCTTCAAACACAACATTCCATTGCCTGACGTAGTACATTTTCACTGCCTGTCTGCCATGCCTAGAATGCTCTTGCCGCTCATCTCCTCCTCCTGGCTTCCCTGGCTTCCTACAAATCTCAGCTAAAGTTTCATCTTCTCCAAGAAATCTTTGCCAGTCCCCTTTAATTCCAGGGCCTTCCCTCTGTTGATTACCCCCAGTTTATCCTCTGTGTATATATGTATATGTACATGCATATGTATATCATATATGTGTATACATATACATAAATGCATACCTATATCTATATAGGAAGAGAAATCTATATATCTCTATACCTCTATATCTATATCTATGTGTGTATATATGTGCATACATATATACATGTATATACATGCATGCATACACATTTATATAAAGATATGTATTTATACATCTATATATAGGTAGAGGAATCTATACATCTATATCTCTAGCACTCTATCTATATAGATATTTTGACATAGATATCTATCTAGACCTATATCTACATACATAGGAAGAAAGAGAAGAGACAGACACAGAAACGGGGGTTGGGGTGGGGAGGGAGGCAACGAGGTGGCACAGTGGATACAGTGGCAGGTCTAGAGTCAGGAAGACCTGAGTTCAAATGTAGCCTCAGACACTTACTAGCTGTATGACCTTCGGCAAGTCACTTAAGTTTGCCTGTTTCCTCACCTGTAAAATGATCTGGAGTAGGAAATGGCAAACCATCACTCCAGTATCTTTGCCAAGAAAACCCCAAATGAGGTCGTGTCACAAAGAGTCAGACATGACACAATACGCATATATATAGATATATGTATGGATGTATGCATTCATGCATGTATAATTTGTACATAGTTGTTTGCATGTTGTCTCCCCCACTAGACTGTGAGCTCCTTGAAAGCAGAGACTCATTTCTATTTTTCTATGTATCACCAGTGCTTAGCACAGTGTCTTGTACACAGCAGGTGCTTAATAAATGCTTATTAACTGACTTCTTTGGGAAAAGGTAATAAAGAAGACTGAGATAACTTGACAAAGGTGATTCTGAGTATTTATGCCAGCTTGTTTATTACCCTTTTCCAAAGCAGTCAGTTCACATACAATTCCCAGGGTGTTTGAAAGGAGAAAATATAGTAATAATTGTAAAGTTCTTTGCAAACCCTAAAGCACTATATAAATGTTAGCTGTTATTATTGTTAATGACCTCTTCCATGTCTAAACATATAATCCTAACACTAGCCTTTGTTCCTTTGAGACATCATAGTTGTCCATGGAAGTTAGCACTAATAATAAGGTCTACAGCATAAACAGTTTTTTATTTTCATAGGAAAGAACATGATTTTCATAATATTATGTTTTAAAGACTCAGCTGTTTTATTTCTTAAATGAATAACAGGGATCATTCTGAAACTTAGATCCACACTTATAAGTCCTTACAACTGGCTTGACTCCTAATGACTAGTAATAGAAGAACTTACCATCAACATAAACACATTTCAATGCCTGATGCAATTCTCCATCACTCATAGAAATCTTTAAGGCATGTAGGGTCAGCAGCACATCATTCACATAAATCTTACCATTTCGGATGTTACTGAAAATTTTACAGGCTTTATTGAGTGCTGAATAAATGTAAAGAAGCATATGGCAAAACATTCAGTTAATATGGTCAGGGCATAATAAAAGAGCCCTCCCTGAAATATACATATAGTGCAACACATACCCCAAACTATATAATGGAAGCAATTCCTGTATAGTCAGAGAATGGCTAACTCTTATTATAATCAGCACCGTTTAAAAAAAAAAGTCTGTATAACAAAAATCCTTATTCTCTTCCTCCAGCTCCTGAGAGAACAACCACACAGCCTATAGATAGGAGTGGAGAAAAAAAGTTCCCTCCTAAATCACCTGCTTAAATTGAGTTCATGGTCCATGCAAGTAGAAGGAAGTTCATCTGGAAGCAGTGACCCATATACACACATCATAGGGCTACAAGCTATGGGATTCTTAAGGGATTGGCACAGTTCCTTAGGAGAAGGCAGATGAGGCTGAACACTTTTCTGCAACCATTTAGGCATTTGCAAAATCCAACTAAGCCCTTTCCTAGTCCCTGACCAACCACCCAAATGAAGACTATTCACTCATTTTGCACTTGCTCTCAAGTTGCTTCAGGCAATTACCCAAGGGAATTCCTTATCCTAACAAAATCACAAATCCTTTGTGTACCCACCTAATTTGAGTCAAATTGTTATATTCTAGCCTTGAATACCAATCATGGAAATAGGACTTGGAGGCAGCTAGGTGGCATAATATAGATAGGAGTCAAGAAGATTTGAGTTCAAATTCTCTCAGACACTTAACTAGGTGTGTGATCCTGGGCAAGTCACTTAACATCTTTCAAGTCAAAATTTTATGAGAACTTTCAATACCACTTCCAAGAAAATATTTCACCTGTAGCCCGGATCACCAAACCAAGTTTCTGGGGAAGCAAAGTTATTATAGGTTTTTAAAAACAAAGAGCTGTTATTTCTCCCTCTATCAATGCTAAAATTCAATCTACCTCTCAGGACTTGTGAAGCATCACCTCACACAGTGGTCAGAAGTCTTCCGTAGTTCATATTTTGTTATCCACAGCATAAACCTAGGGGTTCATTAGTATAGGGAACTCACAGAAGAGAAAATTCCCTCTATCAATGCAGGTTGGCACTTTCTCAGCAACTTATAATCTCAGAGCAGGGGGGTCTTACCCTTTTTTGGTGATACGGACACCTTCAAGTGAGACTTATTCACTCCCTGTCCAAATAATATTTTAAGTGTATATAATAAAATGCATAGGATCATAAAGGAAACCAATTATATTGAAATACAATTGTCAGAATATTAAAAACAAATTCATGGACCCCAGGTTAAGAACCTCTATCATAAGGAATTGCCTAGAGCAGTGCCCAAGGTCACCCAGCCAGTACTTATAAGAGGCAGCTTTGAACCTAGATTTTCCTAGTTCTGAGCCTGGCTTTCTATCCATTATACAATATGGCTTCTCTTTCTGGGATAGAAAGCAATTCCTGAATAATAAAGGAACAGTGGAATTACAATAGGCATCATGTATAATAAGTCATTTTTATAACCAAATGCCCTACTTACCAATCAGTCACAAATATTTATTGAGGGCTTGCTATTCAATTCAACAAGCTTTTATTGCCTACCATGCCTACTATGTGCCAGGCACTGGCCTGTTGCTATCAGAGATACAGAAGGAGTATATGTAAATCCTTGCCTTTCAGGAGCCTACCATGTAGTTAAAACAAGATAGTGTATCATTAAGTGTTAAACTGTGAGGCAGCCTCTTGGACTTCAGAAGGAAGCCTTTCCTGCTTTAATGCTCCTGTTCCTTCTCAAATTATCTCATATTTACTTATCTTTTTGTGTGTTCTGTCTCCTAGTAGAATATAAGCTCCCTGAGGGCAGAGACTTTTTCATCTCTGGTTATATATCACTAGTACCTACACTAGTAGCCTTGTACATAGTAGGTGCTTAATATATTCCTGATGAATTGAGCTGAAAAGGTATAACCTGAGAGGGAGATGGGGAGGTAGGAAAAGTAAAGGAAGGCTTCAGGGAAAAAGGATTTAGAAACCTGATCAGTAAGAGAAAAGTGAGGATTCCTATTTAGGGCAAAGGATCTTATCAAAGGCCTAGAAATAGGAATAAGAATGGCATTGCTTATGAAAGCCAGGGTGCCTTTTTCTAAACAATACTTGTTTTCCAGTTACAAAGGAAAAATTTAGGCATGCTTACCTTCCCTGCCCCGTCTCCTATCCTTAAAGTTGACAGTAGCAGAATCTCTAGTAGCCTGTGAAGTATTAACAAAAATCTCTTCTAGGAAAGGGGGCCGTTGAAGTAGATTATTCCTCATTAAGGGTCTCCAATTTTGTATGAGTTTCAGATTATTATAAGGGCCTGAATGAACAGTGATGGATAAGAATCAGAGAATCTCAAAGTTGAAAAGAATCTCAGAAGTCACCTAGTCCAAGAATCTTTTCTACAGGGTAATAGTGGGAGGGAAGGATTCATTTAAAAAATACTTGTTACTTGAAAAATAAAATTAATATATTTTAAAAATTCTTTCTACGTATTTCGTAAAGGTCATACAGTTCTTACTTGACGACCTCCATTGGGTGAGGGAAAAAGGAAGGGATTTGAACTCATCTATCTACCTAATACTTCATCTATTTATCACACTATCTATGCTACAAACTTGTCTCCAAGCCCCATTCCCATGATGGTATTCAGGGCTATAATATAGCACTTTTGGATAGCTATAACCATATTAGGAAGTTCTTCTTTATATATGAAGCCTAAATCTGAGGGAGTTTTTTGTTTGTTTGTTTGTTTGGTTTTGTGGATAAAGAGAGAGAATTCAAGTCACCTGGCCAAGGTCAGCTAAATTCTAGAGTACTGAAAGAACTAAGAGATATGAACTAGAATATAAGGTTTTAAGTCTCCTTATCCCGTGCTTTTAATTTTTTTAACCATACAAGTACTCCAATGGTTCCCGAATTTTTCCAAGTGATAGAGCTCTTTTGTTCAAATAAAACTTTTGACAGTAAAAATTGCAGTAAAATGCTCCAAAATTACTATCTCAATGTTTATTAACACACTATGTAAGTTCATTTTTTTAAAACCCCACAAACTCTCAAGGTATTTTAAGGTTTCTTGCAGTACAGTTTGAGAAATACTGCCTTACTCCATTCAGTCTTTCTTTATGATTAGTTATGGGCAAACTCACAGAGAAGCTCATTACACTGCTATTCATGGCCTTAATTCCTAACAGTATATATAAAACAACTATATTGTGTCTTATCATGACAATAAAGAAACTCAGGGATGAAACTGATCTGCTGTCCTTATATGTAACCCCCAATTTTGCCATAATGGGGAATATTTACTGATATTAATACATTACTAATTTTGTTATTTTTGTTAAGTTGTTTTTCAGTCATGTCCAACTCTCTGTGACCCCATTTGGAGCTTTCTTGGCAGAGATACTGAAATGGTTTGCCATTTCCTTCTCCAGTTCATTTTACAGATGAGAAAACTGAGGCCAAGAGGATTAAGTGACTTGCCCAGGGTCATACAGCTATTGTCTGAGGCCAGATTTGAACTCATGAAGATGAGTCTTCCTGACTCCAAGCCCAGCACGCTATCCATAGTGCCACCTACCTACCCCACATGGCTAATACATCATATATAATCCAGTATGATAAATAGAAGGGCATTGAGGCACTGAAGTAGATAGGATAGAGTGCCAGCCCTGGAGTCAGGAGGACCTGAGTTCAAATCCAGCCTCAGACATTTACTAGCTATGTGACCCTAGGCAAGTCACTTAACCCTGTTTGCCTCAATTCCTCATCTGTCAAATGAGCTGCAGAAGGAAATGGCAAATCACTCCAGTGTCTATGCCAAGAAAACTCCAAATGGCTTCACACAGAATTGGACACAACTGAAATGACTCATTAACCACAAATGACAAATGGAAGAGACATCCCACTGCAAAGAAAGCCTTCCTCAAAGTGTACATCCTCTTTAGGAAATCTACTTCTAGGTAGGGAACCACTTATATTACCTTCCATATCTGGTAAGAAAAACTCTCCATGCTGCGCCTCATTGTACAATGTCAGGTAAAGGTTGGAAAGAAGGTTATTTTTCCTACAAAAGAAGAATAAACTTTAGAAAGGTTAAGATAAAAAGGCCAAAGTTTCATGCTAAGTTTTTGGTAAAAGTTGAAAATGAGCTCTTCTTAGTCTGAGGTTCTCTCAAGAAGAGCCTTCCCCTCCCTCTTTGAAGAGCTGTCTAAATGGTATGATATTGAATCACCCCAATGCTACCACCTCATTCCCTTTAGGATAACCTCTCCCTGTAGCAGAATGTCCACGTACTTAGTCACAATCTATTGACACTCTATAGCTGGAATCTGAAGCACTTTGGAATCGACCAGGAGACATGGGAGACACTGGCACAAGACTGCCCAGTGTGGCATGCCTACATCAAAGAAGGTGCTATGGTCTATGAGCAAAACAGAACTGCAGTAGCTCAAAAGAAATATGAAATGCACAAATGTAGAGCCATCTCCACTCAAATGTTCATATGGACTACTGGTGCCTGAGCCTTTCAAGCTCGTACTGGTCTAATCAGCCACAGTTGAACACATAGTACACCTTGATTCCAACAGAGTGATGTCATTTTGGTCCTCTTTGAGAATGAAGGACAACAATCAACCATAGCTGGGATCCCAAATTTTCTTGTTTACATGTGCTGACTTTTTAAGGAAGTTGTCAAGACCAGAAACTTCCTGTAATAGTTAAAGAAACTTAAGTCCCATTCTTGGCTGCTCAGCAAATGGCTTGAAAGAGATATTGTGGTAACCTGTACCCGCTCAGGAAGCCCCCTCAAACTGACTGGAATTCTTTTGGAAACAGAGAAGCAGGAACTCTCTTCCAAAACCCACTATTATCAAAGAAAGTTGAAAAGCATCAAAGACATACCGGAGAGGTGTAGAAAATGCTGGTCTTATTGATGGAATGCTGCAAGTGCTAAACTGTTGCTGCTGAAACTTGGAAAAAGAAACACTCTCTTCCCTGCTGTTCCTCTTCTTCTCCCTCTCTCTTTCCTTTTCCTTTTCTCTTTCCTTTTCTCTTTCTTTTTCTCTTTCTTTCTCCTCCTTCTCTTTTTCTTCCCTTTCCTTCTCTCTCTCCCTTTCTTTTTCTTTTTCCTTCATCTTTTCTTTTTCCCTTTCCTTCATTGCCATCCTTATTAAGGAAGGTGTTATCTGGATAAAAACACAACAACTTATGATCATAGGTTCACAGGATTTTAGAGTCTGAAGGGACCTTAGAGATCATCTGGCTTCTTTATTTGCTTTTAGGTAGTACCAGAGATAAGAGTCATATAACTTAGCTCGGAGATAGAAAGGGCTTTGTCCCAGGGAGCTGACATAAGGGCAAGAAAATTTACTTCCCAAGGGATCTGGCTTGGAAACCACCTCCAAAGACAAATTTCATCCTTGTATATATGTGTATGTGTGTACATACATATACATATGTATATGTAAATGTATTTGCATACCTCTGTTGACATGGAGAATAATTTAGGAAATTCATTTGGCATCAAGTAATCCAAATAATTGCCTCAATTCCTTACTCTTACCATGCATTTATATACGTAATTCAAGAATAAAATGAATGAACAAACAAGTGCCTACTATTTGCCAGGGACTAGGTGGCAGTAATAGAAATACAAAAGTCCTATAGCCCCTGCCCTTTCCCAGTCCTTCTTGATTCTAGTGCTTTCCTTCTGTTGATTATTTCCTATTTATCTTATATATGGCTTGTTTGTACATAGTTGTTTGTATGTTATCTCCCCTATTAGATCGTGACCTACTTGAATATCACCAATACTTTGGACAGTGCCTGGCACATAGTAGACACTTAAATACTTATTGACTAAATTGACTGCCCTCAAGGAATTCTCATTCTAATAAAAGAAGATAACACATGTTAAGGAGTGATAGCCAGGGAAGGGAGGAGTTACAAGGATTGTGAGTGATGCCATAAGACTGTCAATTGTCATTCCCCTTATAGCATCAATGGTAGTAGTGATTGGATGACTAGAGCAAAAAGTGAGATGGAGAAGGGGTAGGAGAATAGGGCAGATGTCAACATGCCTAAGTAGGCTCTAATTTCCAATAGATGGATAGAATGTGAAGGTATGCAAGGTACAATGAGTTACGTGTATTTCTGCTCATTCACCTATGGATCAGGATAGTTCAGGTCCAGTAAAGGCAAGCAAGTGAATATTAAAAAGATTCACTTAACTATCAAGATTGTGTAACTGTAATATTATTTAATTCTGCACATGAACTCAGAAAATTTTAATGGGCACTTTTTAAAAAATTCCACAGCAAACTCCAGTTTGGGAGTTTGTTGAACCAGACTTGTTATTTAATCAGTGGAGAACTTCCATCCACTAAGGCAGATAGAAATTCCTCTGGCACTTACATGCTTACAGAGTTGCCTGGATGACAGAGAAGTTAAGTGAGTTTCCCATGGCTGCACAGCCAGGATGTGTCAGAACCTGAAACTGAAACCTGTTCTTCCTGACTCCTAGGCTAGCCTCTTTTCTTTAAATTCTGCTGCTTCTCAGAAAACTTAGAAATCAAAAAAGTAATTACTTATCATCTACTATGAGTTCATCATCTCTCTAGGTGCTATAAGAGATATTATTGAACTCTAAGGCGAAGTGTCGAGGTGGTGCAGTGGATAGAGCACCGGGCCTGGAATCAAAAAGAACTGTGCAAATCTGGCCTCAAGATACTTTCTAGCAAGTCTCTAAATGCCTCAGTTCCCTCAAATGTAAAACGGGAATAATGATAGTACCTACCTCCCATGGTTATGAGGCTCAAATGAGTTAATATTTGTAAATATTTCTTAGCACAATGCCTGGTACACAGTAAGCATTTAGTGCTTTTTTCCTTCCTTTCCTCCTAATAAAGATAGATTTCCTATCTTCAAAGAATTTATAATCTAGTTGGGGAAGAGAAGACTAACACACATAGAAAAAAACTAGTGAATTATACAAGACAGAATAACTGAGGTGTAAATTAGGGCCAGACTGTATAGCTTTAAAAAGCTAAACAGAAGAATTTATATTTTGTCCTCAAGGTAATGGGAAGCCACCAGAGTTGATTGAAGTAGGGTGGTGGATGTAAATAGAGAGGAGATAGATGGGAGATATTAGAGGTAAAACATGATTTGGCAACTGATTGGCTATGTGGGGTGAGGGAGCATGGGAGCCAGAAGATGGCCCCGAAGTTGCAACCTCAGTGACCAGAAGGATGGTGCTTCCTTTGTCAGAAAT